GTCTACTACTCTCTCTCTCTCTCTCTCTCTCTCTCTCTCTCTCTCACGCACACACACACACACACACACACGCATAAACACTGATGCTTTTAATCTAGTCAATGGATCCGCAAATCCGCCTGTTGTTGGAAGTCACATATGAAGCCTTGGAAAGCGGTATGGTTTTCGTATCTGCAGTTGTAATGCATAGTCAGGTCCAAATTTACTGATTGATTTTTTAAGCCGGCCTGTCGCTGGCCCAGATTGCTGGAAGCAACACCTCTGTGTTCACCGGTTCCTTCATTCACGACTATCAAGACCTGATGAGCAGGGATCCCACCACTTTTTCACGCTACTTCTCGACCGGCAACTTCACGGCCATGATGGCCAACAGAATATCGCACTACTTCGACCTTCGAGGTCCGAGTACACCGGTAGATACGGGCTGTTCGACCTCAATTACTGCGTTGCATCTCGCCTGTCAGACCCTTCGCACAGGTGAGGCAGATGCCGCGATTGTCGGAGGAACTTGCATAATGTTGAATCCGGATATGTTTTGTCAGCTGTCAAGTGTCGGGTAGGTCAAACTTCGCGCTTGCTGGTAACCCAAGAAGAAGAAAAAGACTAATACATGAGCCCTCGTGGTTGCATAGCTTCATTGGGCCAGAAGGTAGATGCTTTGCTTTTGATCAGCGTGCCCAGGGGTACGGACGCGGTGAGGGAATTGCAACCTTGGTTCTGAAGCCCCTCGATGCAGCTCTTCGAGACGGCGATCCTATCCGTGCGCTCATTCGAGAGACTGGGATGAACCAGGATGGAAAGACGCCTACCATCACCTCTCCTTCTAGGGACGCTCAAGAGGCCTTGATGAGGGCCTGTTACCAGCGTGCTGGCTTGAATCCCGATGAAACTACTTACGTCGAGGCTCATGGGACGGGCACTAAAGCCGGAGATCTAGAAGAAGTCGCCGCCATCAGGTCTGTATTTGGAGCCGGACGAAAATACCAGAGGCCGCTTGTGTTGGGTTCGGTCAAGTCAAACCTAGGGCATACTGAAGCAGCAAGCGGTTTGGCCGCGATCATCAAGGTTGTCAAAGCATTAGAAAACCGCCAGATACCCCCCACAATAAACATAGAGCAGTTCAACGTGAATCTTGGCCTCCAAGATGGAGTTCTACATGTTGCTCAGGATTTGGAAGCTTGGCCCGAGACCAACATTCGGCGAGCCTCGGTTAATAACTTCGGGTATGGTGGATCGAATACACATGTCATCGTGGAGGATGCTGTGAGCCATATACAAAAATATAGCGGACAGCGACCCGCTGTATCTCAAGGTGCTCGTTGCTCTCGGAAGATCTTTGTCTTAAGTGGCAAAGACGAGGGCTCCACCAAAGGGCTCATGGATCGCCTCCTAAAACACCTCAAAGGACATGATCTATCGCTCCCAGCGCTTGCATACACTTTGGGCCAGCGCCGCTCTCGGTTTCCCTATACCGTGGCTTTTTCTGCCGCCTCGACCGATGAGCTTTCCATAAATCTGGCTGACCAAACGCTTCGCCCGAGTTATGCTGCGGGAGCTGCTAGAATAGGCTTTGTCTTCACGGGTCAGGGCGCTCAATGGCATGCCATGGGTCAAGAACTGACCGAAAAATATCCTGTCTTTCGTCAAGCACTCCATGACGCCGAGAAGATCTTCCAGGAGTTTGGCTCACCGTGGTCGTGCATCGAAGAACTCTCACGAGATTCGTCTACAACACGTGTCAACCAACCCTGCCTCAGTTTCCCTCTTTCATGCTTGATTCAATTAGCACTTGTTCGCCTCTTGACCTCGTGGGGTATTTGTCCAGCTGCCGTAACGGGTCACTCTAGTGGAGAGGTGGCCGCAGCCTATGCGTCGGGAGCTTTGAGCTTCCGAGAAGCATTAGCAATTGTGTACTTCCGTGGACTATTGACGTCCGAGCACGTTGCAAAAACCACATCTCCCGGTGGCATGTTGGCTGTTGGGTTGGGCCAGAAAGATATACAGACCTACCTGAACTGCTTGACCACTGGGACCATTGTTGTTGCGTGCGTAAACAGCCCCTCCAGCGTCACCCTTTCCGGTGATCTCGCAGGCATCGAAGAGGTTCAACAGTATCTCGAGGACAATGGGGTCTTTGCTCGTCGCCTTCGGGTCGAGTCTGCCTACCACTCCCATCACATGCTTCCCCTACAGCAGCAGTACCGTGAAATTCTTGGCAAGCATCTTGGTCCGACTCGTCACTTCAACCCAGATGTGGTTTTCTCCTCTCCTGTCTCCGGTAAGGTGGTGCATGACGCGCTCACCCTGGGACCGGAACATTGGGTTCGAAATATGCTACAGCCAGTGTTATTTGATCAATCCCTTGGCAATATGTGCTTTGAGAAAGGATCATCCGACACTTCAGTCTCAAGGGTGGACATCATAATTGAAATAGGTCCTCATGGCGCCCTCGCAGGCCCTATTCGCCAGTGCCTGGCGGCGGCATCGCCTATCACGTACACCTCCTGTCTGACCAGGAACCAAGATGCTGTTCAAACGATTCAATCCATGGCTTCGACCCTCGTCTCTCACGGGAATCCCGTAGACCTGGCTCAGGTCAACTTCCCCAACGGTGAAGATAAAGAACTCCGTGCAATCCCCGATCTGCCCTCGTATGCATGGAACCATTCTCAGCAATATTGGGTTGAGCCCCGTATCAGTCGCGAGCATAGGCTGAGAGAGCATCCGCCCCATGAGCTGTTAGGCAACAGGATGCCTGGTTTAGCATCCAACGTTGCCCTGTTCCGGTTGATACTTCGCCCCGGGGATATGCCATGGGTTCGCGACCATCTCGTTCAGGCGAATATGGTCTACCCGGGAGCTGGCTGCCTGGCTATGGCGATTGAGGGCATGCGACAGATCTCAGTCTCCGAATCATCGCCGCTTCCTCGAATTCGAGGATACCGCCTTCGCCACATTGAGATTACCCGTGCCCTCATCATCCCTGACACCACCGACGGCGTCGAAGTGCAACTTCTTCTCCAACCGCCGACCAGTAGACTAGCCCCAAATTGGC